AATCTACTTCCATAGAGATACCACCTTGGAAACCCAAGGAGGGGTCGCTATGAGTCGGATCCGACTCGACAGCGGTGAGTTTGGTTTTGGTTTTGGTTTTATTTTTTTAATTGTTGGTGAAAATATACACAGCAAAACATACACCAATTTAACAGTTTCTGTATGTACAATTCAGTGACATTATTCTCCAAGCTGTGCAGCCACTCTTATCTTCCTTTTCTGGATTTTTCTTCCTCTGTTTACATAAACTCATATGCCCCCAAGCTTACTATCTGATCTTTCAAGTTGGTATTATCAATTTGATCCCATACTAGAGGGCACCAAAGTGACCTGACAGGTTGAAGAACTTGCAGAAACCCACAGGAGTAAGGGGAAGAGCTTAATTGCATTAGTCTTTCATTTTCCCTTCCATTTCATTGTGCAAATATTATCTATTGGTTGGCATATAATAGAGTCAAACTTCCTCCCACTTGTCTTAAAAAGCAAAACAAGAAACTCTGAATCGAATGCAGTGTTTAAGCTACTGAACTGTTTTGGTATGATATTTATCAAACTAATTACAGCAAATGGTAACTTCTGTATTGCACAGTTGTTCATGCAAATGCAGATCGACTCTGGTCCCACTGCCCTAAAAGGCTCTAGACCCTTTGCCATCAGGTTTCCAAGGAATCCAGATCCAAACTCCTACCCCTGTAGGCTCCCATTAATCCAATTTTACTGTTGTTAGTAGTAGGAGCCCCACTGGTACCACAGTTACTCCCAAGCAGTAATATTTGCCTTTCAACTATGTCTGGTGATAATCCTTCAGTGCAAACGAATGCCTCAGATATGGCAGAATTCTCAGTTCCTGCATTAAGCGCTTGGGAATCCCTTATGCAGTGGTCCCCTTCGTTTATACTGCACTGGTGACTGAAGATTTGGCTGTGGTGGCAGGTGAATAGTGGGCTTACTTTCTCAAATCTCCATTCTAGTAAATCACTTATGTTTATCATTGAAAGAATGCCTGAGCCATTCAAGGCACTAGGTTACTCATTGAACCGTTTTATTTTTGCTTTTTTTCTTCCTTAAATGTATTGTAGAGTTCAAGGTTTTATGCCATGTGAGGCATGTTTCCCTATCCCGGTTGTTGTTGTTGTTAGGTGCCGTGGAGTTGGACCTGACTTATAGCGGCCCCTCCTTGGGTTTCCAAGGCAGTATCACTATGGAAGTAGATTGCCCAACCTTCCTTCCAAGGAGTGGCTGGTGGGTTTGAACCGCCAGCCTTCTGGTTAGCAGTCACGTACCTTAGGCACTACGCTAATTGTGGGTTTCTGATTTGGCTACTAGAGATCTTGATGACAAGCTGCTTATGAGGCCTGGGTCCAGTACCATCCTTTCAACACGAAATTGGCCAAATCGAGCTCTGGAGCTTAGTGCATCGTCTCTGTCATATACAGTGCAGTCCGTCAGGAGACGAAACCCCCCACCTCGTACCCTTCATCCCATCAGCACAAGCCATTCACGAGCTGGAACACCAAGACCTGTGGAAGAACTCCTCAGAGGAACCCGAGTGTAGGTTTCAAAGCAGAATTTCTGGAAACTATGATAAAGCTAATGAAAGGGAAGTGTACATAAAGAATGAATTAAAATATAAGTTAGAAATCTATGCCTGGAAACTAATCATTAATATTCTAAGATGCATTGCACATTGGTTTGCATCTAATACAGAAAAAAATGGGGTTAAATTTTAATAAAATACAAGTATTGGACCTTTCTGTTGATTTAGCTAAAGATTTAAATTTTTATAAATATTGGCTAGAATACTATAGTTGGGTTTACTGAGGGAATAAAAGATTCATGAACTTTATTAAACATTTTGCTTAGTGAGAACACGTTCAGTGAAATTCATCCCAAAATAATAGTATATTCTCTTTAAATGTTTTTCTGTGCCATCGAGATATGCTTAATCCATTGGCAACTTTATAAACCTTAGTTGCTTGCAAACCAGAAAATATATCCCTCAGTGATTCTTAGGAATTAACACTAAAAATAATTCTCTTTTTCCCTCTCCAGTCACTTAACACTCTTGAGCCTGATTGTGCACAAAATATCTAGGAGCCATTTTTTAAAGTAAAATTATTTCAGTAGCTGTTGATTCATAAACCATCTTAGGGTACTTGATTTCTATGATGTGTGCTCCAGGAAATGAGATAGTTAAACAATTGTGTTTTGAATTCAGCTTCTAAGTTAAACTTGTGTTGCTGTCCCTCTCTCCCAATGTGTTATTTCTTGATTTTATTTTTCAATTTCTTGTTATAATTTATTCCAGCAGACTTACCAAGAGAGATGTCCAAAGCCACCCAAAATCTTGTCAGGCCGCCAGTGTCCTCACCTGCTCAGTTTTATTATAATGATAGACCTATATCTTATACCTGCATAGATCCATCTGTCCATTCATTTGCTGATGGTCGTGATGTCTAATTAATCTCATCCTTTTGACACTACTTTTCTTTTTTCAAAGTTTGAAAATAAGTTGGTTTGTTACTGTGGAACATGAAACTATTCAGTTTTTACTATCTTAGGTACAAGCACTTTACCTAGATACTGTAGTTATTAGTGAGAAGGACAACTAGATGGCCCAGAACTGTGGAGAAATTCCACAAATCCCTAAGAAAAGCACAAAACCAAACAGGGCAATTTTTTTCTTTTTTGCTTGCTTTTTTTTCGTTTAAATTTTTCTTGTGGTTTGGTTGAAAGTTTAGAGAAAATTTGTTTTCCACACAGCAGTTCATACATTTTGTTTCATGACAGTGACTGCAATTCCCCACAGTGTAACAGCTCTCTTCCCACTTTCTCCTCATAGTTACCTCTTCCCTGTGTCCATCCCTCCCCAAGCTGTCTCTGTACACACACTGCTCTTCTATTCTCCCAAGATTGATTGCTCCAGGGAGTATATCTGCCTGATATAAATGTTCAGCCCATAAGCCTATCTTTTGTTTGGCTGGAAGCCACAGGAATGGGTTCAATTCCAGACCTGAAGGGTAACTAGGGGCCATAGTCTCAGGGGTCTCACCAGGCTTTATCAGACCAGCAAACTTGGTTTTTTTTTTTTTTTTTTTTTTCTTTCTTTCTGATTTTGAGTTTTGTTCCACATTATTCTCAGACTCTATTCAAGATCTCCTGCATTGATCCCCCTCAGAGTGGTTGACAGTGGTAGCTGGGCACCATCTAGTTCTGGTCTCATGGTCATATATATAGGGTAAGGGTAGCATGGTCTACTAGTCCCTTAGACTAATTGTTTCCATGTGTCTTTGGTTTCCTTTACAAATAGGGAAAAATTTCATCATTCCAGTTCTGTGTAAGAGGGGTCAGCTTCTGCTGTGTGCCAGGACAAAGCTTCAGAAAACTCAGAAAATCCTATTTTGAAAAAACTCTAATTTTCAGAAGTCCTTTCTTTATAATTTTGTTAGTTAAAAACATAGGCAGCTTAAAGCTTTATGTTCATGATATTAAACTTATCTGCTTCATTTATTTGCATTCTAATCAGTTTGCTTGTATTGTTCTAACCTGATGCTTTTGTGTCTTGGTGCTCGCTGGTGGGATCTGCACATAGCCCCGTAACAGCTGACTCACTCTCTTCTCCCTCACCAATGGCCCTGAGTCGAAATAATCTGCTGCCACCTATTGGCACGGCAGAGGTGGAACACTTGAGTTCTGTGGGCCCACAACGGCAAATGGTAAGTCTCACATTGCCTTTGTGTGTGTGTGTGTGTGTGTGTGTGTGTTATAAAACCCATGACAGTAATTCTGCAGGATATGCGCTCTGGCCAGATTTATATTGGATTTTGTCAAAAGTACAAACTGAGCTCTAATTTTTTACAATGGTGCTTGGCTTGCAGTTACCATACCTGCCAGGGTTGAAAGAGGACATGCACTGATTCCACTGCAAACCGTTTACATGGTTTCCTTAACTTTTGCCTCCTCTGCAGAAACCCCATAGTGATTCCAGTAGAGCTCGCAGCGCAATGGTGGATGAGCCAAACCATCAGCAGCCCCAGGAGAGGCTCCTTTTACCTGACTTTTTCTCCAGGCCCAACACAACTCAGTCATTTCTGGTACAGTGACATACTTTCCTCTATGGTCCTGATAGTTGAGAAAAGAAATGGACAAAAAGCAAAAGGAAATACTAGCTTGGCAGACTCTTAAGATTTTATATAATGGTCTAATGAGCTCCAAGAATAAAAATTAAGTTTCTGATGGTAAACAATGGTGTAAGCACATCTTGTTAAAATTCTAACTGGTTCCTGTAACTCATTGAAGTGCTAGGAATTCTTTTAACTTACTGGTAAAATTATAAATTCTAAACAATTTAAAGTTTGGCTACCTATTTCTGAGCACAATCAAAATAATGTTAAACTCCAGTGTATATCACATCAGCACAACTTCCTTGTCTAGCCCTGGTCTTACAGAATTACACCAAAAGTGCTATCAGATGATGACTTAGCTTGGTGGGTGAGGTTCCATTTGGAGTGCTGACTTTGCCTTGCCATTTACTGTGTAATTATGAGCCTTTTTACTTTTAATAGAGAAAACCTGATTGGGAGAATGGGGGCCAGGCACTGACTTTACCTAATGACGCTAGGAGGTCAGCCCCACCTCATCTGCTTTGTGGCAACAGGGCTTAGGAAAGTAACTGGGGCCATTCTTAGTACCAGGAACCAGGACCCCACATCCTACACCTCCAGGATGGGGGCATTTACAGCCAGTTTGCTCCAATTCATGCCCCTTGAACCATACCAGCCTGAAGCACAGTATGGTCTTCCCTCCATGAGAACAGAAGTGAGAATAATAAATGAATGGGACCTCAAGAGGCTCCATCTAGAGAGAGATGCACCCACAACAAGGGCAAAGCAGAAATGGGAGCATTTCTGATTCTTACTCAATGTGGACTCCAGAGAGTCTGAACCTCTACTGATTTGTTTTCTCATAATGTAATCTAGAATATTTGTTAAAGCAGTGCTTGCGTGAGCATATTCTGGAGGCTAGATTAATTTCCTACCAAAAACTTAGTTTTGGCTGCCTTAGGAATAACAGTGAACACAGGGAAACATTTCAAACTTTCTTCCTTTTCAGATGTGTTTAACAGTAACAAAAGTAAAAATTACTGACTTTAGCCATTCTCTCCCACTTTGCCATCATGAAAAGGGAGCTACTTGGAGTTATTAATGATCACTGGAATCTAGAGCACTGGATCTGCATTCTGGGCCTGGTCTAGGGAATCCTCTGCCAAGCTAGCAGTCTGCTATTTGGTGTTCTTATCTAGAATAAGAGTCAGCAAGCTACAGTTAACTCACCATAAGTTCTTATAAAAATAACACTGCTGGGAGTTCCGGCAAGATGGTGGACTAGGCACAAGGATTGCACAGACGCTCTTCAACAAAGAAAAGGGAAACCAAT